ATGTTTAATTTTGTAAGAAACTGCCTTCCAATGTGGCTGTACCATTTTGTATTCCCAGCAGCGATGAATGAGAGTTCCTGTTGTTCTCCATCCTCATCAGCATTTGGGATTGTCAGCATTCTGGATTTCAGCCATTCCAATAGGTGTGTAGTGGTATCTCACTGTTATTGTAGTTTGCATTTCCCTGGTGCCATGTGATGTGCATCTTTTGATATGTTTATTTGATATCCATATATCTTCTTTGGGGAGGTGAGATTTTCTTTATTTAATTTAAAAACAAATGAATGTAAAAGTATATGTCTTCTTTTGATTTACTCAGTATTATATATTAAAGCATAACTAGTCTAACAGTGAAAATCAAGACACTGTTTACCAGGTAACATTGTACTTTAATTTCAGATAAAGCAACCAGGAGAAAGATAAAGATTGTGATTTTATAGGTTTGAGATTGAAAGGGCATCTTTGTAGATGTTAATGCTATAGACCGTATCAGGACGACTTTGTCTACACCGTTTCAATGATTTCGCCATTTCTTGAATGAACTTAAGGTGTCATCATTTTTTTCCAAACCATGCATTTAATATGACTCTAGTTTGAAGGATTCAGAGCCCCTAAGAACAAGAAAATGAGCTAGATTTGAATAGGGAGGGAGAAGGAATCATTTGACCCGGCTTCTATATTTCTTTTTATCCTATTATTTCACTCTTGGCAATAACCTTCCTCAAGTAGCACTCAAGCAAGTGAAGAGACCCAGTGCCAGCGTCACCTGTTTCTGTTGTTTTGTCCTCAGTCTAGGTCTCTGTCCCTTTGCCCTGCACCTGCACTCTAGGGAACGATTTCAGGACAATGACCTTTTCTTTCTTTCTCGTCAATTCTTTTTCAGATGCTTCTTGCTGTCAGTGCGCTTGCTCATCTCTTTAGTTCAAATGTGCCCCCTACAAAAATATCTACTGACCCTGACCTTTGAAAAGAGCAAAGGGGTTTTTTACTGAGAGCTAACAGGGAGGAGATGAAAGGCTTGACAGTCTCTATGGAACCCAAGGATACTAAAATTTCTCAAGGTGCATCCTCCCTCTCTGGGTTTGCCAAATCATTGTGTTTCTTAAACAACTAGAGCTAGTAAATCTGCAGGAGAAGTTAAAAAAAAAAAAAAGAAAAAATAGTCCTCAAAGTATAAATTATAGCCTATAAAGGGGGAAAGAAAACTTGTCATCTTTCAACCTGACTTTCCTTGGCAGAAATAGCCTATAAGAATTCCCTTTAAATGAATGCTCAAGTTCTGGCAGGCTTTTTGCAATGCAGTTCCCTTTGTTCAGGAATGATTATTTAAGCTTCCCAGTTTAGCTTCATAACACAGGTTTACGAAAGCTTTTTATTTTTTATGTTCTTGCTTCTTATCCCCAAACAAGTGTTTCTCCCCAATAGAACATCACTTTTCAAGGAACTGAACTAACCCTAATGTTGCATTTATGACTACCTTAATGCCTAAGCTATTTAAGCTTGTTATGCACACACACACACACACACGCACACACACGTTACATACGAATTTAAAAATGTGTTTAACTGTAGCTTTCCTTTTGAGATCAGTGCAAAACTTTTGATGCAACATTTAATTAGCAACAATACAATACAGTACAGTAAGAAGATACCTATTGATGATCAGGAATTAGAAGCCCACATACAGGCGGAGCCTTGCTTCCCTCCTCATTATCTTCTACGTGTGTGTTTTTAATTAAATATCCCCAGGTTCTGGCGGTACGGCAGATGTTTAACACAATACCCACACGGTAGAAATGCTTTATACTTATCACATCTTGAAGATGGACTTATCAGCTCTTTCTTTCAACCACATGTCTGAGATTAATATGCATTGTGAGAGAACTCATTTGGCAGGTTCGGAAGGGTCGGGCAGCAAAGAGATAACATTACGAATCCTACTAGAATTAGTAAAAAGAGGCGGAGTAGCCGCACTAAGTCCTAGTCAATAGTTCAGTCTGAATGAGTACATGGACTATTATCTCGCAGGCACATAAAAGGAGAGGGGGGAAAAAAGATAAGCAAGCTGTATTTTCCACCTGTTGGCACATATATGGTTTTGTTCTAATCCCCATATCTCTCCATGCCCTTCACGAGAGCTTATTCAACTCGCTCCAGTGGGCCCACTGAGCTTGGGTATTTTAGATGCCTGCTAATGAGACAGTAATCCTCTCATTTCGAGGTTCATATCTCCAATCTGCAAAATATGCAGAGATGCCCCATTTCGGTTCTTATTGGACAGGTGGCAAGCCATTCTTCCTCTGGGTCTGTGTTGTCTTTCTCACTTGATAGCTCCATCTGTCCCTGCCTGGGTGACAGCAAGAACATCACAAAGAGAGCAGTGGGGTGGAGGGGTAGCCACCGATCACTGCCACTCCACGTGTGCTGTCGTCCTCACCTTCTCATTCTGGCAGGCTGTGTAGGAGAAATCCCCTGAGTTCGCGTCCACACACATCCCCTTCTCACCACCCCTTCTTCAAGCATCTACGCTCTGTCCAGCTGTGGTCCGGGACATCAGGGGAAAGGTTGAGCCAACTCCGTAAGAACAAAGCAGACAGCAAATAACAGCCTTGGTCACTGGCATCTAGAGCCACCCAGCTTTGCTCGCAAAATTTTATTTTCCTCCAAATCATCTTTGTCATTAGTGCTTGCCAGAGAGCGATGCTTTTTTTGTTTTGTTTTGTTTTCATGAAAAGTTCAAAGTAAAAACAGAACTGTTCATTGGAACTGGAAATGTGGTACATTGGGCCCTGGGGAAAGGGTAGCATTGGCCACCTGCTACGCACACTGGAACTAAGTAAACGTTCATGATAAATTTTGCTTCGGTTTTCAGTGTCTATGTTCCTTCTCGATGCCCAACTATTAGCTCTATTCCTATATTGTGGTCTCCACTATTCTTTCCTCACTTAAATAAAAAGTATTCCCTTTTCTCCCTCAAGGTTTTGCTTTCAGTTCTACTTTTTAACCTAACACGTACCTTGCCAAGCACGATGTACAGTCATACACCACATAACAATACTTCAGCCAAGAACAAACCATATATACCATGGTGCCTCCACCAGATTATAAGAGCCAAAATATCCCTGTCACCTCGTGACATTGTAGCATAATTCATTACCCCAAATCCTCTAGCAAATGTCACAATATATGTTGGAATCAGGTCTTGAAGCTCCTCGTAGGCCATGCTGCGTAATATCTACATTATCCTACAGGAAACAAGAAGATACTTTGAGACGACACGGTTGAGTGTATCTTGGGAGATATCAAAGTCCCAAGCAGGGTTTGTTTGAGGCCTCACTGGAAACATGTTATTGCACTCCTATTGGAAGAACACAGGCCGAGTTGAGTTCACTGCAGAGAACACGTGGTGGATACCTACTACTATATCAATGATGACTTGCCTTGACAATTAAAAGAGAGAAAACATCTACTTGGCCTTTTTCATTTTATTTCGAAAATGACCCCAATACCCCAACAGAGTGGGAAAATGGGAAGGCTAACTGGAGATTTGGGGAAACTGTTACAAAAAAAAAAAAAGACCCACACGGGAAGGATTTATCCAGCAACGGCAAGCTGTGTGAAGATGATGTGAGATTGTCAGACACTTTTATGATCCTTTTCTTCCGCCCGGCTCATGTTCCCATTTGAAGGAGCACACTGCTTGATAGGGAGGCAGCCTTGAAATCAATTGACAGAGCGGGGAAAGCATTAATAGCATCTGCAGCCACAGGACACTCCGCTGCAGTGAGATTTGTTGTAGGACAGGAATGACAGCTATATAACAACATCTTATTGATATGGGCTTCCTGAGCATGGGTAGAAAAATAAATAAATAAATATAAAAAGAACGGGCACTCTGGTGGAAAGTGCTTGCAGCATAACTTAGGGGTTTTGATGGACCCAACCGGGCTACCAATAAAGTAGCATTGAGGCCATTTTTTTCCATCACACAACAAACCAACAGCTCAGATTTCTCCTCTCCCCGCGTGAAGCATCGATGTTTAACGCTGGGGTGACTTTATAGAGATGATATGATAATGACAGGCTAAAGTGAGATGAAATCTATCTGATTGCACAGGTGAAATTCATAGAAACAAATGTCCTTTGATTTGTGCTGCTTATAGTAACACTATTAAGAACAATCAATTCCGAAATTACTGTCAGAATGCATCGATATGTTATTTTTTGAGTATGCAGACCGAATTTCAGTTGAAATGCTTAATTTATTTTAAACCTCAAGTCCATGATTCCTGAAGTATGGATTTGATTGTTTTCAAATGAGGAAACTTCGCATAGTAATATCAGGTCAAACTGTGGAAATCAATCCGAGATATTTTTCTAACACAGCACAATCACAGTTCAAAACAGCGTTGATTTGGTGCCTCACTACGTGTATATATTTTCGCCTCTAGGGACAGTTTGGATGCTAATTTAAATTTTTCAAGGCAGGAAATGAGGTGTCTGGTCTGGTAAAGAAAGTCGTTCATCAGAGTTACAGTTCTTCCTAGTTGGGGATGTAAACGGAAACATCTGAATAGTTTAAGAAAACCAATCTCATGATATCACTCGAAAATATTTCATAACACACACACATAAACCATCACTTACTCCTCACTTCTGAGGACATAAGTAACTTCAAGGTCAGTGAAATGTAAATAGGTTCTAGTTTTATAAAAAGACGTGAAACATGAATGTTTCTTTGTTTTAATTCATGGTGATGATGCATGTGTGTTTAGAGAGAGGGCAAGAACCTCATTAGGAGAAAAGTCAGTGTTGTCTGATTTCATTTCCTTCCTGGCCATTCTTTCTATGATTTGAAAGGCTTCTCCCTCCTCCCCACACCCCGTCCACCTTCTTAATGCCATTAGATCCCATCCGGATAGCTCTGGGGGGGTGTTGCTAAGGTTAAATTTGTGACATCACACTTATTGTTAAGTCATGTCCATTTCCACGGAGACAATTCTAAACCCTGTGGGAGACAAAAAAGAATTACATGACTCAGTTTTCTATCCGCAAGCAAGTTACTCTGGAATTGGAGAGAAAGTATGTATCATTATTTTACCACATATTTGAGGCTTTGGATTAAAAAAAAATAACTAAAAGTAAATGTATTTATGGACTGCAGAGTCAGACCTCCCACTCTGTTATTATACTTAGTATCTGGATGAATGTGACTTTGTAACTTAGTCGCTACAGCTGAAAATGACATTAATAGTGCAATATACACCACAGGGTTTTAGGAAATATACACAAAGTGCTGGAAATGGTGTTTGTAGAGATATACCCATTAAGTGTTATTATTCATTTACTTTTTCAGCAATACTGTTATTATTCATTTACTTTTTCAGCGATACGTGCTAAGTACCAATTTGTGCTGGACATGCAAACATAATGAACACAAGCTCCCTTCCCTCGTGGAACTTATATTCTTGAGGAGGGAGAGAGACTGGGGCAGTATCTATGAACAAGGAAGTGTTAGGGAGTAGTGAGTGCTATGATCAAAGCAGGATAATGAACTAGTAAATAGATTGCAAGAGCTTAGACCAGTCAGGAGAAGCTCCAATTACTCACAGAAGCCAGCCATGTGATCCACAGGTAAGGGAGATAATTCAAAAGAAAGGGAAACCATTGAGCCCTGGGGTGACAGATGAGCCTTCTTGGAGGAAGTGGGCTTCAACGTCATATTTAGGTTAGCCGAAAGAAGGATGGTCACTCCAAGCAAAGAAGTTGCAACAAATACAAAAGCTCAGAGGTGGAAAACTCAAGACACAAGGTCTGCTAAATAGGTTTCAATGTATCTGTCTGTAATGATTGGTTCACACAGAAGAGTAGAAGGCAAAGTGAGGTAAACTGAACTCAGATCGTAGATGGCATTCACCCTGAGAATCTTCTTAAAATCACACATATATTTTTTCTGCATAAAAATGAAGTTTATTGATGGTTCTATGAGATGGAGAAATAAATTATTTGACTATTTTTCCAGTTCATGCTGATGGCCTCCCAGAGGGGGTACCTGGTAAATATTTGTTGACTGAGTGATTGATAGGTTAGAAAAGTAGATGCTGAAGAAATGTTTAGGGAAGACAAGAAGGGAAGGATGATGGGTAATGGTAGTGATAATAACAATAGAAAGATTGGGAAGTGAGAAAAATAGGAGTTGAAGAGAAACAAGTCAAAGATGAATGGGGTGGCAAGCCTAAGGGACAAGTAGACAATAATGGGAAAACACCAAGGGACAAGGTTTGAGGATGGAAAAAGATGAGGAGATCCCTTTTAGATATGCCTACATCAAGAAAACACTGTGATGGTTGAACAGAATGCACACACACACACACACACACACCCAGGAATGGTTAATTGGTTAAAGAGGATCCGGGATAAACTGATACAATGAGAGTACAAATTTCCAAGAGCTCTCTCTTTCTCCATCATTTACTAACATAGAGTCCATGGATAATTAAAGCTAAGAAAATGCCTTCAGATTTGCCAATTAGGAGATCATCCTTGGTCTTTGAAGGGGCAAATTCAGTACAAGATTGGGGATGGAAGCCGAGATGTATCTTTTGTCCCTGCATCCTTTGAGCTCTTGAGTTTTCAGGAAATACTTATCAATCAGCACACAAAAAGTAATAATGTCAATACTTTCTATAAATGCTGAAAATAAATGATAAGGACACATTCATAATTATTAAATTGCCAGATTCCACTTGTTAAAAAAATAAATAAAACAACCGAAAGCATTTAGAAGACAACCAAAGTGTACCTCCTCCACACAAAAACTTTTAAATTTCTTTAATAACGTGTAATTATAGATATAACACAATTGCATTTTCTGACATCTCATGCCAGTGGAGTTGACACCTTGAAGAGTTTCTCCACGAAATAGAATGAGTAAATAAACACAGTAGAGTTTTTTAAAAATAACTTTTATTTACTTTATCTTACAAGACAAATTTAATAATAAATAAGAGAGAAAAGGACAAGAGTTTTAAAGGTCAAGTTAAGCATTTTTCTTTAACAAGGTTATTTTGACATTACTAAATGGAACAGCCACAGAACTTTGAGCAGCCCTATTAGATTAATGATAGCATCAATGGTAAGAACAAGTACTATTTGTTAAGCACCTTTCCTCCTCAACACTGTAATTCTGCTTGGGATGGAGAAAATGGAGAGGAAAAGAAAGCCTAATCTAACCCTGGTCACCATTTATTTTCTTTTTATATTTTTCATTTTTTTTTTAATTCAATGAGAAAGAATCAACAGCAAAAAAAAAAAAATAGTCTTTTCCAGACAGTGTCAAAAAATCAATAATCAATCTTGCCAGAAGAAATTCAACAACACTCTCAGTGCTGTTACAGATTAGACAGACTGTATTGATAATTTTTAAAAAGCTATATGCTCAGTCTCCTTATAGTCTGAAAGGAAATATCTTTATTACTTTATAAAGCTTCCTTGATCCAGTCATGTTCCTACCCCAAAACCAATCTTTTCCTCCTCTGACCTTCTAAAGTTACATTTCAAATGGAAAATAGGAACTTCTGAATAAAAGTGGAGCAGTAAATGCATGGGAAATTTTTTCTATGCTTCTTCCAGAAACTCCATTCAAATTAGAGTCAAGATGAACACAAAAGCACAAAGAGAAAGAGAGGGAACTCTCAGGGAATCAAGAGATAACAACAAATTATCAGAAGATGGGTGATACCAATGAGAAGCAACCCAACTCTGCATCAGGAGCTTGGAAAGGCTCATATATTTTGATATTAGACACCAAGGAAGGCCAAGGCAGGACATGGAGCAGAATACTGTTATGGGAAGTGTTTATATACCTGGCCTCTTCCCAGAAACAAGCATTTCATTTTGTGGAAAAAAAATTGAATTCAAAAGCATCCAGATTTGAGCATACCTGGCACAGAGGAAAGCCAGGGGAAATACACCATTCTTGAAAGTTACTGTTTCACACACACACACAAAAATGACCTTCTTAATTTGACTTCACTGCAAAAATGTATCAGGCCACTATTTTTAGAGAAAGTTTGGAGTAGACTTCCCTGGAAAAACTCAACAGCACCCAAAAACGACTTACAGATGGTCCCTCAATGAGACAGCTAAGTCCTAATTCAATATTCCTCCAGCAAAGCCCACTGATTCTTAAGATCGATCCACATATACAAAAAATTAGAGTATCAGTCCAGGAGATCCAGGCCTCCTGCATATGAATCTCCAACTCATTATCCACTTTCCAGGGAACTAGAACCGTGGTACAACAATTCAAGAAAAATTTCAAAAGATAACAATATTCTTTTCTGGATCAAAAGAGTTGGTGAAAGTCCCAGCATCATGAATGATGAATGACCCAAATCACATCAATATACAATTTCAGAAAGAAAAGAAAAAGAAAAAAAATTCTAGAAGGCTTCCAGAAAAGAAAGAAATCCAATAACATAAAAAGCATCGAGAAACATAACGGCCTTGGTGACTTAAATCTAGAAAGATGATAGAGCAATTCCTTCAAAATGGCTTTCAAATTAGAATAGTAAATGCTGCCAAGTTGTCGATTAAACGTGAGGGCAAAATAAAACATTTTTATATACGCAAGGCTTAAAGAAAACATCTCCATTTCTCTTTTCTCCAAGAATCTACTGACGGGTGTGTGCTGCTCAAACAAAAGAGCAAATGAAGAAACAGGAAGGAAGACACTGGATTTGGTAAGCCGTGGACCCAGGAGAGAAAAGTGGTGAAGTCCAAGGACGAGGACTGGGCATCAGACAGGCTTGAGCACGAGTACAGCAGGGAGCTGGGGAGACGGGGCTCTGAGAAAGGTTTCCGTAAAAATGGTGGAACTGTTACAATAGCTCTCGTGTTTTAGTGTTCAGGGAGGGGTTACGATTCTGTTGGGAAATACAGAAAGAAAATGTAATCAGGACGTAATATACCACTCAGCTACAGTAAGATAAAATGCGAATATCAACTGAACCAACATTGTCATATAACTATAATGGGGAAACAGATGAGGAGAACTGGGAACGAACTAGCTTGTGGAAGAATGTCCCAGGAAAGGAGGAATGAGTTAGAGAAAGGTTGTTTTTGTGTAATTAGCCTTAGAATACTATTCGATTATTAAATTGTGCACCTGTATTTTATAGACCAAAATATATATATATATTTAAATGGAGCGGTGAGTGTCATGAAAGGGAGGCAGATGGTTATTTGTGTAAACACCGCAGCTCTACCCTGAGATCATCACATTCTTGAGTGCAGGCTCTATGTTTACTCTCATTTTTAGAGAAATGTCTTAAAGGTGGAAGGTTCCTAATATCAATCAAATTGAAGAACACATATTATGGATGAAAACATTTAATAAAGAAAAGTACCAAGTATCTATACTTTATATATATATAATATATATAATATATTTATATAAAATAGGGCCATTTAAAAGACATGGAACCAAAGTCATTCTGTAATAGTTGGTGTCAAATTAGTTTTTGCCATTATGTTATTAGCCTAAGTGTTTGAATTCATCTACAAAATGAAGGGATATTTTCCCCCCAAGTAACCTCAAGTCAATCTTCTTTCCATAAGTTGATTATACAACTGGAAATGATTTAGCACTGATCTCACCATAGCTTAAATGTATTCCAATATATGGCATGCATGAACATTAGAAGATTGATATATTTATTAAAATGAGAAGCTTTAATCCCATAATACTTATTTAAATTAAAAAAAAAAACCTTAGTGGCACAAATGTAGATTAGTTGCAATAGGAAATTATGTCTAAAAATGCAATATGCATTCTTGCCATAGATATCAGACCAAGGATTCAGACTAACATATGACTTATTTTCTTTGTCAGAAATTACAAAATGTGCATTCTTTAGCAGATACTAATTGTACCAATGGGATTTGTCCAAACCACTCTCATCTGGGATGTGTTTAATTCTTACTACATCAGCACATCTCTTCTTTCTCTGAGGCTTAACTAGAAATGTACATAGTAAATCTTATTTTTATCCTTACATGAAGTGAGGTGGATACATGGGGCTGCTAGTTCTATCAGTATCTACCAAGGACAGACAGTGTTACACTTCACTATTATAAACAGTGTGGGCAGGTGTCATGTGGTTGAGAAAATAATTTGAGCTCCCATGAAACAATTTCAAGGTAAGCCAACACATGATGATAGAATGCCATTTGGGGTAGTATATATTAACAATTAGAGACCAGGAGAGCACTCAATGAGTTGCCAACTATACCATAAGCACAAAACATTTAAAATGAGCTAGAGAATGGAGAGACAAATGAATACAAGGTTTAATGTTCAAGGGCAAGAACATTGTTAAGAAAAACCAAGGGTAACCCCTGCTCGCCAACCTCTGTCTATTTATTTATCTGGGAACATGTAGCCTTCAAGAATATTAATGACAACATAAATTTACATTACACTTTGTACCTTTCAAAGCTCTTTCACATTTGACTGATAAGTCAGGGCATGTATTATTATCACCACTGTCCATATACAAGAACAAGACTCGGTAACGTGAGGACACTACACAAAAGCAAAGTGTCAGGCCTTTGGTGGCGGAGGTTCTGCCCGTGGCTCTGCTACGTCTCATCGAGGCGTGTGGCCCAACAAGCAGGTGTGCCCAGCAAAAGGAAAGGCAGAGGGCAAGAGAGAGAATGATTCTGCAGCATCCAAGTGTCAAATGGGCTCCTGGGATAAAGGTTAAAATCATTTTGAAGAAATTATTCATCATTTATTGCTTTGCATTACAGAGAAGAGAGGAAGGGAAAGGACCCTAGGGTCGGTTTTTATAGAGACACCATCCTTCCAGGGTAAGTGGAAGTAGCTTGCTTCAAATGCATGCTTTCACCTAGGCAAGTGTGCTCCTGTGGGGGGGATGGGTAGAAAGCCCCCCATGTGTGAAATGAAACTTGAAAACCTAGAAACAAAAACGGCCCATGGAGGCATCAACAACTTGCTTGTATGTATAGTGAAAATGTGAAAAGTCAGCTGCCCCTTGGGGAATGGTCCAAATGCATGGAGAAAAACGTGCTGTGGATATACTTCGCAGTCACATGCAAGGAGATTGCTCCCTCTAGATCAGACTTTTGTCCTAAGTAAAACTGTAAGATAATTTGCATTTATCCTCTTTGTCAGACAAAGCCAGCCAAACTCATAGGGGAAAAAGTTCCTCAGTAAATGAATAAAATCCCCATTCCAAGAGAGACATGCAATTTTTTTTTAAATTTAGTCAATGTAGTGGGCCTCTGGGCATCTCCTGTGCCCTAAATTGTCTCGTTTACCCTTCTCTCTGCCTTCCATTTGCTACCAAACAGGGTAAATCCATAAAGAATGCTGATCTGCTGAAGAATACACTTGCAGGTCTCTCTTGCATGGCTTTACTGGATCTGCAGACCCGAGGGAGAGATGAAATATATTTTTCTGTCAGTAAAAGTCATCAAAAATGACTTGAAGACTCGCAGGAAACAAATAGCCATGGTAAAAAGATAACGTATGTGTACAGTCCCTTTCTGACCACAACTAAGCTTTCAGGAGAAAGAAAACCCTGGAAAACTCAAGGCTACAACGAAAGGTTGCAGAATTCACTCATTAGGATACAGAACATATCATCTCTGCATTGCTTTCTGCACTGCACGGTGGTGATGCTTTTCCTTCCACCAAACAGATCCATCTCAGGAGCCCTCTTGGAACTGTCAATATAGTCATTATCAATTATGTAATGCAGGGGGGGGCAGCAAAGATTAGTAATTCAGAGCTAAGACATCCCATGATTTATAATCTTGCATGTAACTGTCTACAGCGAGCATAGGGAACCTGTCGTTAAAAGGCATTAACTTGAGAAAATTAGAGTTCTGTATTGATCACCTAACACATATAGTTTATTGTGGAGTGATGCTTTAATTTATATTCCAAGCAAGGCTCGAGGTGAATATCATTTGTGTATCACGTTGCATCCTGAAGCCACCTGGTTCCACAATGTGGCAGTGGCCGCAGGTAAGCATCCTCTCTGAATAAGTGCATTCCGGTGTAGTGGGCAGGCAGAGAATGAACTCAGCACCACGTGTGCAGGGCAGCATGTGGTTAAGGCATAACTATTAATTGCTAACCAAAGCAATTAGATGCCATTTTGTCATGAGCCTGCAAAACTTGGGCTGGATGATCTAAAGGAAAAATTACCTTTGTACGCTCCTACCTTCAGCCAGGTGAACTGCCTCTTTGCTCTTTTGCTTCCCCTACTATCTAGCCTTAATAAAATTAGAGGGAGGTTATTAAGTTACTTAGCTCAATCCCTGACTTTCTGGAAGTGAATACTAGAGGAGAGTGCCTGTGTGTTGTGATCCCTGGTAGGATTGGATGTGAGGGTGCATTAACTCAGATAATCAGACTGCCAGCACCAACCTTCGCAGAAAACATCTGAGAGCTCCGAGCTGAACTTCAGAGAAAGTAAAAGGGCTTTCACAAGCACTGCCTAATAGTAAGGTAGGGAGAAATCTTGCATCATCTAGGGAAAAAAATGGGTTTACAATGGTTTTCAACCCTGGCTGTGTATGATAGTCACATGGGGGGATTTGATAAAATATAAAATATTGACATCCTATCCCCACCCCCTGAGATTCTAATGTAATCCGTCTGGGCTGGGGAACCAGGCACTAAAAACTTTTTAAAGTTCTCTAAGTGGTTCCATTGTGCAGCTTTTTTGAGAACCACTGTTTGTTGCATGCTCAAGTACACACGAGTAACGTGAGACAGAAAAGAGTGGAACATATTGAAATGGCTAAGATTTGGTATAGACATAAAAATGATGTATATGGAAAAAATGAGCAGCAAATAGAAAATTAGCATATAACAGAAAAATATGGGTGCACAATTTTGGTGTGGTTTTGGCATCGGTCATGGCGGCTGGCAGGAGAGTCTTAGAGGAAGACTCCTCTACTTATGTCGTGATAGGAAAGCATCACTGTTCATTGCAATCCCAGAAGCTGAGGTGTGTGGCGGACATCAGCTGAATTTTGTTGGGATTCAACCCGCCTTTCTTGGTTTTGAACCGCGGGGGGGGTTCCCCCTTGATTGTGGGGGCGGAATTTGGGCTTTTGCACCTTTGGGTTTGGCCTTGGGGGTTCTTTCCCTTAAGGGTTTTTTTTGGGAGGGGGGTGGCCCTTTTCCCCTTCCATGGTTTTTTTCCTTGGGGTGCTGGGAAAATGCTCACTGTGTCCTATCCACCTTTCATCTGCACATTCAGACCTGGATGTAAACACAAAAGAGAGGGTAGTATTAGGAGAGCTTGTAGCCAGATACAGTGGCAATGCGATAAAGGGAGATTAAAAGAGTGTTTTTAAAGGCTTAAAGCCTCAAAGATAAGTATCTGACAAAAGGCATTCAAGGCAAAGAACAATAGATTAGAGAGGTAGCTTTGATAAATTTTCATGCTGAGGAAACAGGAAGAATAAAGAAATAAACCATCTAGAAGGAGCCCAAAGACCTCTCTCGGCTTATGCATTATTAACAACCACAGAGGAATAAAAAAATAACTAATCTTGAGAAATAGAATGATGACAGCTTTGATGTTTCTGTGCTAGGCAAGGATGAATGAAGAATATGTATCTTCTATATACAAATATATGCACAAGTTGAGATGAAATCATATTATGCAGGGTGTCATCACTCCAGGTCTAAGCGGAGTCTAGTTTGAATGTTAGTAAACCATTCTGGGTGGGTTTCAGGATCTCGCTCAGCATTTATTTGTGGTTTAGTGGTTCACACCATACACATTTGCTCCCAAATACCTGAAGACCTTTGTCATGTCCAGGCTGACCGAATCTACCAGACTCTGAACCACACTCGAATTTTAGCCAGCAAAGAACCTCTGGCTCTTGCAGAGCCATGAAAAGGACACACTCAGGCAACAAACTTTCCTTCACTTCCTCCCTTGTGATCGCAGCAATATGTTTTTTAATCTAGAGCCTGTGGAGCCTTATCATCTGGGGGAAATTTAATGGAAGAAGAGAAAAGATGTGCCTACATGGTCCCATCAAATAAGCTGTTGGCCATCATTTCTTGCGATTAGATTAAAGAAATCTCAGGGCACCTCAAAGCAATTTATAGAAAAACACATTCCTATTTACCTGGGGAGAAGTGACTCAGGTTACAGCTCCCAGAATCCAGGCTCAGTGCCTTAAATTTAATTAATGGGGCATATTGCTTGGTCTTTAAGCTGCATCAAGCTAGGACGTAATGAGATGTGGTATTGACAGGGCCTGTTCTGTGTCAGCAGGCCGGTTCAGATGAGAACACTTGTTTGAAAGGAAATTGTATTCAGTCGGAATTCTCTTCTAAAAGCCTTTCCTTGGAACCTCCATTTTGTGTGTAGCTTTCCTTTGCCTCCATCGCCAAACAACACTCTAAGTGGGTTCCAGAGCATCGGTCCGAGTGAAGAAGAAGATCTCAGTCCAGATTCTACCACTATGATTTTCAAGAGCTCCCTCTGAAATCTTACCTCTTTTTTTTTTTTTAACAATAACCCCCAAGCCTTAGCATCCCCACACCCAACGAAATGCTAATAGTCGGCATTTATTAGACATATTATGAATCAGAAAAAATTAAGCCCTTTATGCTCATTACCTTCTTTTATGCCCCTGAGACCCCACAAAAGGGTATAAATCTCTCGACTACACAAAGGATAAGAAGAAGCCCCGAAATGTTATTAAATAAATTATCTTGCCCAAGGTCACGCAGCTATTGAGTTACAGAGAGTGGCATTTATTCTTTTCATCCAACGCAAATTTGTTCGGGACCTACTATGTGCCAAGAGCAAGAAACAAAGCAGTAAGAAAGATACAGAGGTACCCTCATGGAGGTTTGTTGCAGTGGGAGAAAAAGCTCAACATCCACAAGCATGTTGACAAATTGGGATGTCATTAGATAAAAGATAAGGAAGAGATACTCCAAAGAAGGTGGTCGGGAAAGGCTTTGCTACGGAGGGGACACGTAACCTGAGTCCTGAAGGACCGCCAGCCAACTACAGAATGGGTGGGGGAGGGGTAGAAGTGGAACTGGAGGTGGGGGTGGGTGGGTGCCCCCAGCTTGAGTTCCTAATCATTGCACTGCAGCATCTACTCTTTGGCCTTCTCCGGAATAATCTGAGGCGCTCATTTTTCTCAACTCATCCTAACCAACACCTCCAACCCACACCGCCAATATAAATGTTGCTGTATCTCCTACCCACATTTTGTTCTCTTCAGTCTAAGGGGAAGAGATGACACTGATTCCTTTTCAATTTGTTTCTCTAGGGGTGACTTTCCTGGGGCCTTGCTCCTTTGTCTACTTTTGATCATCTCTGTCTCCATCCCCACCTTTCTCTTGATTCCTTCCTCGCAGTGTTCAGCATCCACAGTTTCTCATACCCTAAAACAGCTCTCAAGCTGGCATCCTCCTCTCCCTATAACCCTTGGAAATTATAATCTGTCATTTCTTTCTCCCCATTCTCATTTTTCACTCATTCCACGGACCCTGTGAGCTGGGTTCACTGCCTTCACTCCACTGAGCAGAGAAGGTGCTAGAATGATGAGGATAGACTTTGGAGTCAAACAACTCTCAACTAGAGACCCCAGTCCCAGCCTTTAGCTGTGTGATCAGGGGGAAGAAACCTCACCTTTCTAAACTTGAGTTTATACTTCTATAAAATAAACACAATGACAGTAATCATAATAATTCCCGCCTCATAGATTACAGGAAAAATTATTAATAAAAGAGGCAATAGACACAAAGTCCACTGCAGAGAAGCTCATACCAAAGTGCAATGAGTGTTGCTATTATTTAAACTGTACTAGCAAAAGTCATGAGGTGATCCAATAATTGCCCCATGTAATGGGGTGTTTCCAGACCTGGTCTTTCTGTAACTTCTTTTTGATGTCTAACATTATTGAACACTTCTCTTATCTTACAATTCTCTAAGAGCCTTGGCCTCCTTACAGCACTTTGTCCTGATTTTCATTCTACCCCATGCCTGTTGCTTCTTGGTATGTTGTGTCGGTTCCTCTTCCTAAACTTCCTCTTGTTCCCTGGGAATACTTCTTTTGTCATTCTAGTGCTTTTTTTTCCGGTGGTTCCTAGGGCCTCAGTTGTCATCTATATGTTGACGCTTCTTAAACTAACTTTCACCAGATCTGTGAGCTCTAAGCTGGAAACATGTATTCACCTGCCCACAGGACTTCTTTTCCCCCTTGCCCCATGGGCACGTCAATGTCAACATTGATACAACCATGTCTCTTTCTTTGTTTCCCTTTCTCATTTTATGTTACCAAGATCCACCTTATTTCCCAAGGGGGAAAAAAATGTTGGAAATAGGCTGTTTGTCAGGCAAATACAGGACAAATATCCAGATCTCTTCCCTCCAAACCTAGTACTCTTTGGCTCAGTGCACGGTATTCAGCAGTTTACAGTATATATTTTAACCATGTTAGTACTAGCTTGATGCTATTATCCTGTGACAATTGATATTGTGTATCAGCTTGGTTAGGTCATGGTACCCAAGTTTTGCTCAAACACCAGTCCAGATGCTGCTCAGAAGGTATCTTTTAGATATGCTAACATTTAAATGAGTATGCTTTGAGTGAAGCGGATTACCGTCCACAATGTTGGTAGTCTTCGTTCAATCAGTTGAAGGCTTTAAGAGAAAGCACGGAGGTTTTCCAAGGAAGAAGGAATTCTGCCTCTAGACTGCCTTCGGACCCAGGCTGCGATGTCAATTCTTCCCTGGGTCTCTGGCATGCTGGCCTGCCCTACAGATTGCAGGCTTCCTGCTCCCACAATTCTGTAAGCCAGCCCCTTAAATCAATCGAGCAAGCAACATCAATCTCTCTGTCTTCCTCTCTGTCTTATTGTCTCTGTGTCTCAGGGGAATTCTACTGGTTCTGTTCCTCTGGGGAAACACACTTAATTGGTCCTGTGTCCCTGCAGAACGCTGACTGATACATACGTTATATCTTTTTCTTCTAGCATTTGGAAACACATCATTAGCACTCTACCAGCTTAACTTCCCTTTTACATATCTGTATTATTTAATTTTGCATAAGTAGACATCCCATTGGCAAATGGTTACCTACTCTATTTAGAAAAATTATGTCTGGGAGTATTTTAAATCATGTGTAGAGTAGGTTCTTCAGTCTTTAGAAGAAAAGACATCTTGATACTTTTCTCTCTCATGCTCACTTATCCTCTTCATCAGTCTCCTACCGCACTGGCCCTGCCAACCTCCCATCCAACCCATCAGCTGGTCAGCCATCTCACTCACCCTAGTAATTGGCAAGGGTTTGCAATCCAAGGATTTTAGCCTCTTTACATAGGAAAACAAATTCAATTGCTATCTTGAGATCCAGGTGGTAGGAAAAAATTACAAACTAATAAATTGCAATCTTGTGTTTCTTTTTCCCTCTCACAGTACCACTTGATTATTATGTCCTAAATTGATTAATATACCATCCATCATTGCTCTCAAGTGAAAGTTAAGGATTGCAAGAGTTTTGCATGTCACCAGCAATTTGGCTTCTTAGAAACAAGGGACAAAAACCTGATTTGGAGAGAAATCTCTGTGGGATTAATTAACTCAGAGAAGACACTTACAGCGCTGGGTAACAGTTGGATGCCGGGCTGAAGGTTGAGTTCATTCCCTATGTGCCACCGGCTAAAAAATGCAATTAATCTAGTATATTAAATAAATACTTCAGGATGTAAAAAGAAGACTTTTTTTTTTTTTTTACTGATGATGTTGTTATTGTTGTTACTTTTTACCTTGCAACCAAAATTACAACTCCTCTTCTTTCTTCCATCTGGAAAAGGTAACCTCTAAAAAGTCCCTCGAAAGGAGCAGGTTAGCGTTCATGTTAAGTTTGGGACTTTAAGACAATATTCATTGATTCTACTCACACTTGCTGAACTGCCACAAGTTATAATCAACACATGTGCTTTGGAATTCCACTTTGTGGTTTATGAGGGCTACGGTATTTACCTAGGTTAGCCAGGTACCAAGGCTCTACAACTACTTACTCAAGTAACCTATCTCAGGAACTTTAAACTCTTCCCCAGGTCCCATGCCCGCTCCTCTGAATGTCTGGGCTGTGGGAATTGATGTGCACAAGGGAGTAGAAGAAATTTTTTATACAAAAGGTAAATAATATGATATAATCCATGTCCAAGTAGAGAAATGTCAATTTGTTTCCCACAAAGTTTCCTCTTCCTCTAGTTGTTTCTTTTCAAAAGAAGGTGCTCTTAGTTAACCATAATTTGATAAATGCTATAATATTTTATTTTTCCTCCTACCTATTCCTCTTTCAATTATATTTTTATTTTGATAATATGCAAGATGTCAACATTTTTTAAATTTTTTTTTAAATTTTGGCATATTATGGGGTTACAAATGTTTAGGTTATGTATATTGCCTTTGCTCCACCCAAGTCAGAACTTCGAGCGTGTCCATCCCCCAGACAGTGCACATCACACCCATTACATGTGAATATAGCCATCTCCCCCCTGCCCCGCCCACCCCCGCCATCTGCCCGACACCCGATGAATGTTGTTACTATATGTGCACTTAAGTGTTGATCAGTTAAAACCAATTCGATGGTGAGTATATGTGATGCTTGTTTGTCCACTCTTGTGATACTTCCCTTAGTAGAATGGGTTTCAGCTCTATCCAGGATAATACAAGAGGTGCTAGATCACCATTGTTTTTTGTGGCTGAGTAGAACTCCATGGTATACATATACCACATTTTATTAATCCACTCATGTATTGATGGGCACTTCTTCTATTAAAAAAGACATCTGCACTAGACTGTTTATAGCAGTACAATTCACAATTGCAAATATGTGGAAACAACCTAAGATGTCGACATTTTTAAAATAATAAAATAAAACCTTAACACTTCTGAAAAACCGAGAGGTTTAGTGGAATGTCCATTTCTATAGTGTGCATCCTGGCTTGGAGATTCATTGTTTTAGACAAAAAAAAAGGTTATTTATTTTTACTGGATAAGCATCAATCTAACTTCAATAAACACAATATGCGTATGTCTTGGCAAATAATATGCATTGTGAAACGAAACATAAGACAAGTAGATGCATGGGGGTCCTTTAAAAGTCTACTCTGGTTGAGGTTTATTCTAAAGCCAGAGGAATGGCTAGAAATAATGTTTTAATCTACCTTTTGGTCCTAGAATGTAAGCAAAGAGGAAATATATTTTTATAAAAGAAATGGCATTTTCTCAAGTTGAATCCTCACCAAAGGGAAGACAGACATTGCTGTAAAATTAATATGCTTTGTTCTAACTTTAAAATCCTAATGAATATTTTGCTAAAATTATTATTTAATTATTCATTAGGTATAATACACTTAACATTTCAATAATTAATTGCTCTAACGATTACAGAAAAATTCTGATTTATTTGTTTCTACTCTTTAAAATAATCTAATTGTTCTTGCTATCATCTACATCTACTTTATAATAATGTTCCATGACTAGAAACGTCAGAAATTAGCGAAGAGTTGAGTTCCAAGATGAATATTTCCTCTTCTTTCCTGTAAATAGTTCCTTGAAAGATGGAAAAAATTGTCTATTTATTCTTTTTGTCTCTGTCTTCTCTCTGTCTCCCCGTGAAACATGTTTGGCTTGGGAAGATGCGAGATATTAAATAGTACAATAAAGAGTATGATAATATACAACACTGGTAAGAAAACACATATACCTTTTCCTAATAGTTTTGAGAGACATAAAAACTAACAAATTCATACACAGATGGACATACTCAGCCTATGCCATCAAGCAGCACTACCTCAGCAACTAGAAAAAGTTCTCTGAAGCAATAAAAAGCTACTTTTCATAATATAAGAAGTCTCTTGTGTATTTCCACCGCTCACCAGGCCTTCAAGGGGAGCTCCCCACAGTAAATATGATTCCCAGGCTCAATCATTAATTCTATTTAGGCTTAATGTGTCATAAAGCTAAGGAAAGCAGGGCCATTTTCCTCTCTGCTGGGGCACAAAAAGTGTATTAACTATTCCAGCCAGTACTGGAGATGATTTATTAATTCAATTTTAGAAAGTGAGACTGTCAGATCATATAAGCCCATATTACAAACAGACGGTCTCTCCGAAGATTCTTGCTCCTTCTCTTAGCTAAATAACTGATAACGCACTTCCCTGCTGAGCTATCTCTCTCTGTCTCTGTCTCTCTTTCTAGTTCACTCTCTCTCCCTCCCTCCTTTCTAGTCCCCAAACACACATAACTCGAATAAGCCACAGATAGTCAATAATATTCTCTCATACTTGAGACGGTGGAACGGACTCTGAATATAAATTTGACGCACCTGGAATGAAAGGGAGACATCTTTCCAAACCCAGACCTAAAAATTACTGAGCCAACATGGTGGGAAGAACGTTAGTGTGGAAACCTCATAAGCTGGATTCGAGACCAAGGTCTTCCACAAAGTACGAATGACCTTGATCATGTCCACGTCTTCAAAAGGGGAAGACTAAGTGGTCTCTAGGCTCCTTCGAGCCCTAACTGTCTACAAACCCGTGTTGCAACATGAGTGAAAGAGGGTGAAGTCATGATGGCCTAGGCTCAACAGCACAATTCTCCTCCATGTGAGTGGACATGGTACCTGAGCGAATCTCAATGTTCTGTCCATTCCTTCTGAATGATACACCATAGGGCAAATTTACCTTATGTAACCTTAGAATCTGATAGTAGGACAATGTGTGTGTGTGTGTGTGTGTGTGTGTGTGTATGTGTTTTCTTAGGTTAAATTCCCAGCGTCCACAAACCTCCCAACAACAATGCTTAACCAGGGCTCTGTAGGATTCTGGAATCATTTTTAGTGTCGCTCGTGTTTTAAGATTCTGAAACTATTTTTATTACCTCTTTCTATAGGCCTGTCAGTGCCCTCTGCAATGACTTTTTACATACAGAAGAGCTTGGTTTTTACTCCCATTGGAATTCTGAGAATTAAAATACAGAGATAATTTTAATCATGTGATGGTGATTCATTTCCTAAGATATTCAATGTGCAACAAACGTGGGTGGAAAATCAAAGGATAATTTTCAAGATCAGAGAGCTGTGGGTAATTTTGCATCATGCTGAAAGTACACTCACCTGTTTCCTAACCAAATTAGGCTCATTGGGAAATGTTTGTTTTGTGTTCCTGACTAAAACTTTTTTATAGGGAATGTATGCCCATTTATGTCTCAGACAAAAACCTCAGGCGTAAAGCAGTTAAAGATAAGATCAAGAAAGGATTAGTGAAAGGGAACGAGCAGAACTAAACTTGCTTTTATAAAAGTAGAAAAGAGCACAAATTGTTTAATACAAAAAGTCATTTATTTTTAGCAAAAGCTGTAATCATACTGTTTTATGTATAAGAGATATTTCAGTTGTCGAATTGTTTCCCAATATCTATTAACACCTTTCTGTCTGGGATACTCTTTTTAGTTATCATTGTCAAAGCTATTTACATATTATGTTGTGTCCCAAATATTGAAAATGCAAACAAGGTGGTCAGTTTCCATATGACTAGGGCCTCCTTCCATTATGACAAAAGAACTACATTAGAATTTAGTTTCTTATATTCAAACGCAAGATTTATGACTTAATTTCGTTCTTTTGTGTTTTCTTAAATGAAACCTGTATTTAAATTACTCATTATATTCATGTGTGTTGTGGAATGGGTTATAAACCCCCGAAGAGTCAAATGTTGAAGTCCTAACCCACAGTACCTGGGAATGTGACCTTATTTGGGAACAGGGTCTTTGCAGATGATATAGTCAAGACGAGGTCATTAGAATGAGTTTACTATGACTTGGTCCTTATGAAAGGAGAAATGTGGACACAGAGACAGACAAACACATAGAGAGAGCAGCAGGTGAAGATGAAAGCTGAGATATGGTGATGCATCAACAAGCCAAGGAATGTCAAAGATCCCCAGCAAACCAAAAGAAGCTGGGGAGAGGTATGGGACATATTTTGCCTCCCAACCCTCAGAAGGAAACTGCCAATACCTTAATCTTGGACTTCCAGGCTCCAGAACTGTGAGACAATAAATCACTGTTGTTGAAGCCATCTAGTTTGTGTTGCTTTGTTACAGCAGCCCTAGGAAATAAATGCAATGGCCATACTTATTGACAAATGGTTTTTGTTTGTTTTTTATTCAAACATGGGAGCATTTCAAAGGCTGTAAATGAAACACAGAGCTGGGAGAGACTGATTTCACTAATTGGCTGGACTTCAGTTGAAATGGAGGGATGTTGACTTTGTTGTCTACATCCTTAGCTGTTGTCCCTGTGGCTTTAGGTTCAGCCTATTAATTTGCAGAGATAACAAAGAAATTTGAATGAACTGACGATTAGAGAATACATAGACATCCCCCCCTACCCATTTACCATTCCCTCTTTCTCCCTTCTTCCCATTCTCTTTCCTTTTTGCAGTTTACACTTCAAATGTCTTCTTACACAAGCAAGATTTGGGCAATTTGCTTTGGGAGAAATCAGCCCCAATGTCTCCAAGGCAGCTGGTCAGTTTCTGAGACTTGCTGCCATTCTTTCCAAGGCCTCTCGTGTAGAATACAAAACGAGGGGGTAGAAGGAGGCTGTGAAGCTGATTCCAACTCTTTAAGCCTTTTGAAATATGGAGGATGGGCTTCCTGAGTCCCCTGAATCTCCCAGACTCCTTCACCTTTTATGG